TTCCGATCTCCCCAAAACCCCAAAACCCCAAAGTTAAATATTGAAAATTAGCGTTTAATTTGGGGTAAAAGATTTGTAAGTATTTAAAAATTAAATGAATGCACTCTTAAAATTATTTTCAGCTCTCTCATAGCACTTAATTAGTTTGATAATTTAAGTTTTATAGAAAATAATGGATAAATAAAACAAGAAGTCTCATATTCTCCCCCTCACTACTGGCAAAAAATCCAATTCATCAAGAATGCCTACTAGTTCTTCTTGAACATTCAACATAAGTATTAATGAAAAAGATTTTCAGACGTATTTGAAACCTGAATCCTCCAGAAATACGTTGGTCTTAAACAACACAGACTCAATAAAATACGAATATAAAGTCGGCCGACTCCTAGAATAATTAGGTGTCCATGAATTTTTACCACAGAAAAGCTACAGCAATTTGAAACTTTTCTAGCTCTTAGAGCTCATAAGCAAAAACTATCTTTATTTTCAAGCGGAATTGAAAACACATAAGAAATTAAACGAAAGTCTTATTTTCAAATTTTAGGAGGAGTATAAAAAGAGGGTCAAAGCTGAGCAAATGTACAAGGAGAGTCAAAGATTGGCTTCGTAAGTAAATTCCATTATCAAGTTTATGGACTATGTCAAATAAACAATAAAAAACTTCAGTTCTAAGGACCTTGAGCAGATGATGCTCATCAAAGATCTTCAAGATAAGATTGATCAAGCTAAACATGACATGCAATTGTTTGTAGAAGTAAAAGAAATAGATGAAATTCTATTTCGATATGCCTACGTTGAAAAGGGTTTTGATGCAACTTAAAAGATTCAAACATCAGACGAATTATGCCATAAAATAACTAAATATATGAGCAATCTTATCTAAGACTCGCGAACTATTGAACTTGATCTTTGAGCTCCATTAAACCCCGAAATAATAGATTAGGAGATTCTCTAAAGCTATGAGAAATTTTAATCTAGATCCTACTCTCTTGATATTTTGGGAAAGCACAATAGACATTCATATGGTTGTCATAATCATCATGCTCTAGGCAAGGCTTTAAAAGAAACAAAAAATGGTGTTGCAGTTGTGATAAACAACTTAAAATCAGAAAATACAAAGCTGAAATCTGTAAATGATAAGCTTTAGAGCAGAAATATCAGTAGCGACCTGAGAGTTTCTAACGAGCAGATGAATGTCAAAGTAATGGAACTTGAGTAGCATATATTGAAACTAAACTCAATTAATGAGAAAATCTAATAAAAATTAAAAAAATTGCAAAAAGAACTCTCAACACAAACATTGAAATCAGAATAAATGCAAGAGTATGTGACTGCAATTGATAGTCCATAAATCTAAGATAATAAAAGGGTTTTAGATAAATTTTTGGGCATTCTATTTAGTAAAAAAGATGAGGAGTTTAGTAAGTAAGAACTAATATAGTTGAGAAGTTTAATGCAGAGTTCAGATGAACTCACACTGCTGAATGATGATTAGTTTAGAGGTCTTGAAACAAGAGCAGGAAGCAGCATGTCTGGCTTTTAAGGATCCATGCAAGAGTTCAGGACTGAATTTCTGAAATAAAGATAAATAAACGAGGATCTTGTACACTATCTATAAAAATGTATGGAATAAGTAAATAAACCAATAAAAGACAGAGCTCTATTAATGAGAATTGAGGAACAGCTATATTTGCATTAATTCTAATTATCCAATGAAAATTAGCCTTCATCATAAAAACAGACTGAAAAGACATAATCAAAACAAAGGGTATCAGAGCATTTTAGTAAAGATCACACAGAGAGGCTAAGTAATCTGAGTGCTGTTTCAACATAGTTCACTCACTATTAAAAGAGAAAAAGATAGGTTAACTAAAAATAGCTGAATAATACCAAACAGCTTTCATTGTAAAGTATTGAAACTACAATTATGAATCAAACGATAGGCAGAAATATAGTATAATCTCCTTCGAGTCTTAGTAGGAATTATTTGACATCAACTAAATCTGTAAAATCACCTGGGAATAAGTTTCTATTTAGTCCATCAGTGACAAAGCCTCCTTCAGGAATGACCTCTCATTCTATAAAAAAGATGTTGAAATGAACTAATTGAAAAAGTTCATGAGAACTTTATTATAGTAAGGGATAGAAGACTAAATTTTCATAATCTAAAACGTTAGTAATATTAAGCTTTGATGAAATTATATTATCTTAACCTTAAATTAAAGAGTTATATTATTGAACTTCTCTTTAAATATATTAATAATTATGCTTTCCAAATTTTCCTAAACTTTCCTCAGAAGGGGATAATCTACTTTTACACAAAGAAGTTCTATCTCACTAATGAATAAGGTCCCAATGAGATAGATATCTTTGCTCATTAATTAACAAGGTTTAGATGAGGATCAAAAGATGATTCAATAAACTGCTTATGATTTCGCTGAAAGTGAACTTAAGCCTTATGCAGCTGAATGGGATGAGAAAAAGCATTTCCCTAAGGATTAATACAAAAAGGCAGCTGAATTAGGGTTTGCAGGTATATATGTGAGTGAAGAAGCTGGGGGATGTGGTCTAGGAAGACTAGAAGCCTCACTTATTTTTGAAGGACTTTCAACTGGTAAGCATCACTAAATATATGTTAAATTTATTGTTAGGATGTGTTGGATCATCAGCCTATTTAAGTATTCACAATATGTGCGCTTGGATGATTGATACTTACGGCACTGCTGAATTAAAATAAAGATGGATACCCTCTATGTTAACTTTTGATACATTCTCATCTTATTGCTTGACTGAGCCAGATTCTGGAAGTGACGCATAAGCAATGAAAACTTTTGCTAAAGATCAAGGTGATCATTTTGTGCTAAATGGATCTAAAGCATTTATTTCTGCTGGAGGAGCTAGTGATCTTTATCTGATAATGTGTAAGACAGGCGAGAAAGAGGTTTCATGCATTGGAGTAGAAAAAGGAACACCTGGACTTTCATTTGGCAAAAATGAGCACAAGGTATAAATATAAATAGCTTTAATATTTTATTAGATGGGTTGGAATGTTCAGCCAACAAGTCTTGTTATCCTAGAGGACTGTAAAGTTCCCAAAGCCAACTTAATTGGAAAATAAGGTCAAGGATTCAAAATAGCTCTCTCAGGTCTTGATGGGGGAAGATTAAATATTGCTAGTTGTTCTCTTGGAGGAGCAGCCGCATCATTTGAAATAGCGAAAGACTATATTAAGGGAAGAAAATAATTTGGAAGGCCATTGGCTGATAATTAATATCTACAATTTAAGCTAGCTTAGATGGCAATCGATCTTGAAGCCTCAAGACTAATGGTAAGACATGGAGCTAATCTGATTACTGAGAAAGCTCCAAACTACACAATGTATTGTGCTATGGCTAAGAAATTTGCTACTGACAAATGCTTTGATATTGTGAATGATGCCTTGTAGATGCATGGTGGATATGGATATCTTAAAGATTACCCGATCGAAAGATATCTTAGAGATCTCAGAGTTCATTAAATTCTAGAAGGAACAAACGAAATAATGATGCATATAATCCAAAGAACTTTATTACATGATAAATGATTAATTATGACGAGTTCTTCAAGTAAATAATCAAATTTTTATCAAAACAACGATTAACTTACAAATCTTTTATAATCTAAATATATTTGTCACAGGTCTACTTCCAATAATTTTTTGTTTTAAGTCACATTAATGATGCTTCATGGGGTTTTGGGGTTTTGGGGTTTTGGGG